ATCATCCCAAGGAGAGTGACACTCCCCTTCATCCATATACTATACATGCTAAAAGATGATGTTTAGAGGTTAGAAAATAACAAGGAATTTTTTCAAGCAATTAACAAGAAAGTTTGTGAGTGAACGTTGTTTCCCATCGGTCCACCTATTCGACATCAAAGTACACCCACTTTTCTTCCATTCCATTGTATATTTATCCAAACTCACCTTAACATTTTCACCTCTTTCTTCAAACAAGTAACTCTAACCTCACCAATGGGTCTTTGATCCAATGATACTCGTTACCTTATAAAATCTTTGTCTTCTTGAGCTCAAGGGGTCAAGCCCCCTTTCCCCCTCTCCTCCTCACCCCTCCCCTTCCAAAAAAAAAAAAGTTGTATGGATGTGCACAAAAAAAAAAAGTAACTTTATCCTCATGATAGCTAGAGAGTTTTAATCCCTTGTCATACTCACTAACCGATTTCATTAACTTATCAAATAATGGACTTTTAACTAAATTGAAAGCTAGTGCATGTCCATAGAAGAAACGACATATGTCTTGAATCACCGGTTCTCTTTTCTTCACCAATTCATTTAATGTTTGTTGTCTTTCTCTAGCACTTTTCCCCTTGCCTTTAATCACAAAAGCATCCATGGTTCGAGTCCTCCTTTCATCATCCTCTACAAAGCATTCATTAGGATCCTCATTTTTTCCTTTCGCATCTTCCAACATTTGGAAGAATTTTTTTGTAGCATTCTGTAGACATTGGGTACATGGTGCTACATCAAGACGAGTCCCTGCAAAATGATGTTTCATTCTACTCACACCACCCCATTTGTCAAGGCCACAATAATTGCACTTCAAGTGCATTCTATTATCACCCACACTAGAACAAGGATCCTATCTTGGATCTTCATTCTTTTTTTGCTTCATTTTTTTATTCTTCTTTACCATTTTCAGCTTCAAGTCTTGAACAACAACTGAAAAGAGAAAAAAAACAATAGAACATATAGGAGAAGCCCCTTGATTATATGAAGTTCACTACAACAAGTGTGGAAAAGAAATAGGAGAGAAGTGAAAATTTCACGACGAAATATCTACCTTTTAATTAAATTCACAGGGTAGACACACGCATACAAAATAAGTTACATGTATGCTACTCAATGGCAGAGAATTGTGGAAACTCTACCAACAGGGCACAACAACGTAAAAAAAAAAAAGAAATTAGAGTAAATCATTGAAAAAACAGAGCATTGCTAATGTGAAAACCAGAGCATCATTTGAAGCTTGAAACCCACATTAATATTGTTTATATACAGAAACCCACATTCATAACTGCAAAATCCTCTACCTATAGGCCACAAAAAACAAAAACAAAAAAAAAATAGAAACAAAGAAAATACAACAATAAAAAAATAGAGCATAACTTATGTAAAAACAGAGTAATATTTGAAGAAGACGTAAGGCCTACTAGCTGTTGTTACTGTTTGGTTGCGGGAAAGAAGAAGAAGAAGAAGAAGAAGAGGAAGAGACATATCTTAGAGCCAGAGGTCGATGAAGCTTCAGCGTGGTGCCTAGGTGTCCTTCAACAAAAAATGTGAGAGGCAAAGTGAGAAAGAGACAAAGAGGGAAGAGTAATTTATTAGGGTGTGGGACCTTGCAAACAAATGACGTCATTTGACTACCTAAGCAGAGTCAAAACAATGTCGTTTTGATGTATATGTGAGTCTTTTAAACAAAAGAGTACGAATTAGACGATACTACCGATTCGGTTTGGTTCGTATATTTCGTGCGATTCTGTTTCGATTCCAGACTCAGAACGATTCAATCATAAGATTCGAATTGTCCACCCCATGAATCAAATCGACTCGTACGATTCGACTCGCAAATCAGACAATTTTAACAACTATGTTCTTGAGAAATGTGTCTTTGCAGATGTTAAAAATTGTGTTGGACTCCAATTGGTTAATCAAGAAAGCTGACAACTTTGTGTTGTCTTGAAAAGAGAAATTATGGATTCTATTATGATACTACTATTTGATGTGGGCCCTCTCATTTGAGGCAAAATATGGTCCATCAAACATTATTATTGGAGTTGGACGGTCTCATCTGTTCACCTATTCGTCCCCTAAAGGTAGGGTTTGTACTTGACTTTTACGACAAAACTATTTTGTAATTCACTTCTAAATCCTTCTCTTTGTGTGTGGCATCGATGCATTTTTGCAAATCAGCAAGGACATTGGAAGGTAGATTCTGAGAGTGCGATGTCTTGTGAGGTTTAATCTGCTTCTCCGACTTCTTATCGCCATAGGAGTGTCACTGTATGCTTGTTTCTCCTTCTTATTCCCAACTTCTAATTGCAACTGTTCCATTGTGCCTAAATTGTAATTATTTGTTGTCTATGATTGTTTACACTTAACATTACCACGCTATTTACCAATTCTTGAAGCAATTTCTATGAAAGTTATGTCTATAAAATTTCTTCTTTTTTTTTTAATGTCACCTCTTTTCATTGAATATGCTAAGATTTCAACTATTTAGGGTTGAAATGTTTATTATCTTTGTGTTTTGTAAATCGTATCTGTATCGATCTGGACATGGTCTATGCATTAACCATGTTGCACGTCAGCAGGCTAATTTTTTGGCCCAAACCCTAGCCAAAAAAAAGTGTGGTGCATTATGTTTTGGTCTAGACCCTAAAACTAGGCTTAATGTTCAGGCACAGACCTTCCTGGCTTAGACAATAGAATTTTTAAGTTGGGCTGGCCGGGCGAGGGCTCACGCCCACCCCCAAACCATGGTGGATTGCTGAGACCATGACATGGCAATAATTGTAGTCTTTGGATCCATGAAGCTAAAAGCAATGATGACTGTTGTATAATATTTTCTGTTTTCTATGCAAAGTTTTGAATTTTTATTGCCTTCCAAGTATTAAACCGAGTAAACCTAACTAAGTGCTGTATATGTGAAGACTACATCTAGCTGACAGAAACGAAACAGTAATGCTCTGTCTTGCTATTTTATGAAATGAGTGAAATGTCAGGCCATTGTAGGATTGCTGCAAATGATTTAAAACGCCAATTTTCTTAGAAAAAGAGAGTGAAATTGTAATCTATGGCACAACTTTGGGCTAATTAACATGATATTGAATGTAATAACATGTCAGTTTATATTGATTCAGCAGCATGCAATGTACATATAATCTGTCAAATATGCCTTGTTGGATTTTGTTCATACGGTTAGCGGCCTGGAAACAATTCAATAGTTGTAAACAAGGTTCTAGAACTTTTAGTTTCAGAAACATAATGGTTTAACATGGTATGATTGAGCCCTCTACAAAACTCCAGTGTCGAAAGAAGAGCATCCAAAACTTGAGACATGCTTGTGTAATTATTGGAGGTAGAAGTTGGTTGTTGGGTTTATAAAAAAGGAACAAACAAAAAAAAAAATATAAGGAGAAAGAAACAGAGAGGAAGATCGGAGAAGAAACAAAGAAAGGGGAAAAGGAAACCATGGCTTCAGGTAAAGATCCCACGATGAGATTAAATCTGGTTCTTACCAAATTTGAATATGTTATTTGCCATAGCTCTAATATCATATGTACCGGTTCAGTTTCTTGAAACGAAGTTGGTTTTGTTTAATTTTTTATTTTCTTCCAGTTGATTATTTTTTGAATAGAGAAAATGCAATAGATTGGTATGGAAGCTAAAATTCAGTTGGAAATGTAATATTTCTTCATGGAAGTTATTAAGAATTTGAAGTTTCTGGAATCAAGAAGTTGTTATGATGTTGCTGAAAATTAAGTTGATGAAATTTGATGTGCTAAAAATTTTGTTAAAAAGTTGGTCGTTAATCTTGATTTTGACAGACTATTTAGATAGTCGGTGGGAAAACAACGATAACTCTCTCTAACAAATTTGGATTTGTGCACCATATTTTTTATTAGAATACAGACTCGTAAAATTTTCTAACCATATATAGAACAGAGCCTAATTTTATTTGTGTGAAAATTGACATCTGTTTAAAGTCGAGTGAAATTTTGCCACTAAAGAAAAATAATTAGCTTAATGCTCTTCTAAACAAGTGAGTATAATTAAGCACATGAAACTTCGATTTTAGCTCATGAACTATGGTTAGAATGCTTAGGAAGTTTACTTTATGATTAATTTGGGTTTTTGTTATTTTAGAAAAGATAGAAGCTAGTTTTAATTAAACTCGCGCGATAAATTCCCATGTTATTTTAATGCAAGTAAAGTGTTCATGGAAAATGTCTGAGTGAAGTAAATGAGTGAAAATAGGGCTTAAGTGACCAAGTGACCCCGACTTTATTTGAGTTGAATGTGATATGAAATAAATTAGATCAGGTTGGGTCAAGGAAATAAAAATATTGAAAAAATTCAGATATGAGGTGCATTGGACAGCTTAGACACCCTTTCAGTAAAATGGGCATAAATTTTGTAGAAAACTCGGATTGACATATCGTCAATTTTGTTGAAAACTAGATTCAAAGACCTTTCCAACGATAAATGGTAGAATACCATATTATTCACGTGTAAATTGAGTTTTTAATTTAAAACTCAGATTGACATATCATCAATTTTGTTGGAAACTAGACTCAAAGACCTTTTCAACGATACATGGTAGAATATCATATTATTCACATGTAAATTCAGTTTTTAATTTAAAGATAACTAAAAAATAGTTCACTTATCAAATTTAATATCCTGTTGGAATATAATCGTAACATAGTTTATGTGAGGTGATATTGAGCTTATGATCTATCGTTAAAAACCTTAACAAGTTTACTTGTTAAATCATTTGGTTTTATGTTGAGTTATTCACGCTTTGATTTTGTTGTTCTCCTCAGATGATGGACATATTTTAGTGAAATAATATTTAATTCATATTTTTTAATATTTTTATTTATTATGATGCATAGTACACTTAAAAAAATATTTATGCGTAGGACATTGAAGTTTAGAATTGAGCTAACTACAACACTAGTAGAGTGTTAAATTATAGTTCTAACTTTCGAACACCAAATAGATTTCTAGGGAAGGGGTGCGACACAAACGACTCAAAACCCTACTGAAAACAGCACCAGCGTACCAGCTGAAGAAGACGACGGAGAAGCACTGTCACGCAATAGCAGCAATAGAAGGAGAAGATGGGAAAACTTCCACCATCACTCAGGTCTGCGAAATTCCCAATCACTCTTCTCAAAAACCCTCCTTCAATTCCCCCTCAACTACCACAATCCCCACCACCAACCATACAACACCCTCACATTCCCAAGAAAATCCCGAAGAAACTCAAGTCCTCCAACACCCAAAGCCGAAACCCCCCATCCATCACCTTCAACTCCCCCAACCTCTCAGAAGCCAAAACCCTTTTCAATTCTCTCACCAAATCCTCCAAGTCCCCTCCACTTGACATCAAATTTTGTAACTCACTCCTTCAATCTTTTTCTTCCATATCAACCCTCCAAGATTCGATCTCTCTCGTCAACCACTTCGTGAAGACTCAACCAACTTTTTCCCCAGATAGATCCACTTACCACATCCTTCTTAACCAGTCTTGCAAATTACCCAATCCTTCTCTTTCCTATGTCCACCAAATTCTCAATTACATGACCACACACAATTGTCCCCCCAACAAAGATTCCATTGACATCGCGGTCCGGGCCCTTTGCTCCTCTGGCCGTGAAGAGGACGCTGTTGAACTTGTCAAAGAATTTTGCCACAAAAATTTGCCTCCGGATTCCTATACTTATAACTTCCTCATCAAACAGCTTTGTAAAAACCGGACAATGAGTACTGTCGACAACTTTATCAAAGAAATGAAGGAGTTTTCTGATTTAAAGCCCGACCTTGTGACACATACAATCATGATTGACAATGTTTGTAACGGTAAGAATTTAAGGGAAGCGACACGGTTATTGGGAGTATTGATTGAAGAAGGATTTAAACCAGATTGTTACGTGTACAATACCATTATGAAGGGATATTGTATGTTGAGTCAAGGGGGTGAGATTTTAGGGGTGTATAAGAAAATGCAGAAGGAGGGGGTCAAACCGGATCTTGTAACATATAATATTTTGATTTTCGGGTTATCGAAGTCAGGAAGAGTTAAGGAAGCTCGGAAGTTTTTGGATGTCATGGTGGAAATGGGTCATTTTCCGGATGCAGTTACGTACACATCATTGATGAATGGGATGTGTAGGCAGGGTGACCCGTTAGGGGCACTGGCATTATTAGAGGAGATGGATGCAAAGGGTTGCAGTCCTAATTCGTGCACGTATAACACATTGCTTCATGGGTTGTGTAAGTCAAGGTTGTTGGAGAAGGGGATTGAGTTGTATGGTGTGATGAAAGATGGTGGAATGAAACTCGAGACAGGGTCTTACGGGACATTTGTGAGGGCACTTTGTAGAAATGGTAGGATTGCAGAAGCTTATGAAGTGTTTGATCATGCAGTGGAGAGTAAGAGTCTGACTGAAGTTGCTGCTTACTCAACATTGGAGAGTACTCTCAAGTGGTTGAAGAATGCTAAAGAACATGGACTTGCTGGTTAATTTCTTAAATTATTGGATTTCATTCCTTCGTGCAGTTTACATTGTCCTTTATGACTGGCTTATCTATATCTATATCTATATCTATCTATACCTATACTACTCCTAAATGTCTACAAAAGTGTAAAACTTTTGTTTGACCAAACTAATAGCTAATGTATATTCTATATGTGTGTTGTTAGTTACATTATTAAATTATATGTAATTGTCACAATTATGTGGATTGTTGAGCTACTATTTTAATTCTGAATAAATTCTGATGACTATTGAGTTGCTCTTTTAATTTGTCTATATCTATACTACTTTAAAATGTTAGTACCCATCAAAACTTTTAAATACCCATATTACCTTGTCAAAATATATCAATATTGTGTTGTCCCTAAAATCAATTCTGTAATTGAAGAGTCACCTGAAAAAGAACATGAAAAATCAGTTATTCCTCATGGTTTTTCCGCTGCATTTGCTGTCCTTTTGTTTTCTATCATCTTTAACTGTTTGGCCCTTTTGCTAAACTCTTCAAGTCAAGGACAAGGTAATCTTGTAACAAGCTTCTGACCTTTTGTCTTTTTTTCTCCTCTCTCACTTTTCAGCTCAACAGAAAAATGAGACTGACCAAGGAGGAGCAGTATCATTCTTGGTCTTGCCCTGATTGAGGAAATTGATTCTTTGATAAAAGAAAGGACATGCTTATGGTAGATTTTATTATTTACTTTGAGCAGTCATGAATCAAGTCACTCGTACGATTCAATTTTCAATCTTTTTCTTGTCGAATTCTCTACTTTTGTCAATTAGAACAACATTTAATGCATAGTTATCTCTATAGGTAGTAAAATAAAATTTTCGTACATAAATTTGTGTGGAATTTTTATTGAAAATTATTTTGCATTTTCTTAATTCTGTTTATTTTTTTAGGATAATGATAATTTTGTAAATGCTGAATTTCTCAGTTCATTTGCCTTTGCCATCGGCAGGAGGGATGGGTTAAAAATCTTTGATTGGAAGGCAAACCATTAACTCCATGAATTTTTAATTCAAGCATCTTTGGTGCTACTGTTTCTAGGAAGTTGTCGTCCTTTCAGTTGAGTAGTCCCATTGTTTCTACCTTTGAAATTTTTATGTACATCTTTCAAGTGTAATAGACTGAAAAGTTCTACTCTTACTCAAAAACCATGATCCAAATTATCCAACCTTGCAAAGTCATTGCCACTGAAATGTCTCGTACTGGTCAGAGTAAAATATTGTTACATTTGTAGCTGAATTTGTATCAGGTTACGTGTATGGATACTTTTGTTTGCTGATGAACTTATTTGTTTTGCTCTTCTTAGGGTCATGAAGCAGTTGGAAATTGAAGGTTGGAATTAACGGCATTCTTTGCAGATTCAGTAGCCGTCATTTTAAGGGTATTCATCAATCTGCTCTTTCTTTACTCATTCCTCTTTTTCAACTCATGATACTTCAAGTGCTGCTAAAGTTAAGATTTTAGTATGAAATATGAATGCATGTGTTACACCATTTTTATCTAATATGTACTGAATGTGGAAAACCCAAATAAACATCATTTAATATGGTCACCTTTCATTATGGTTCATGGGGTCTTCATAGAAAATTTTCAGTTGTTACTGCATTTTGCATCTCTGCCCAAGATTCTCAGGTTTTACACGGATTGGAAGCTTGATTCTTACGATTTGAAACTTTAGGTCAAGATATTGATGTGGTAGCAGTGAATGGTCCTCATATTGATGCCAAGTACATGGTAAGAATGTGTAGTGACCTTCAGTATCTTCATCATTGTTTTGTTGGTCATACCCCATCAGCAATTCACCACTCAATGTGAACCCTCTTTACATTCTCTCTCTTAAGAAACAGCTTTGGTTCTTACTTATCGTAACATTCACCATCTTGACTCTCGTTTGCAAGCAAAAAGAGTCCATTCAAGATTGTGTTTGGTGGGGTTATTTTGTTCAAACCTGTATGCTTGATTCTCTGATATGGGAAATTTGATGTATGTTTGTTGTTGCAGGAGATTGGATAAATAGCCAATGTTCTTCTAGAATATATTTGATTAATTTCGAGTTTCTCTTTTAGATTTTGATTTTACAGCTTCATATGGGAACATGCATGTATTTATTGACAATTTGTAATTTAGTGTGCAGCTTTGCACTTTTAGTTCTGATCTTACACTCTATTCTATAACTGATTGATATGCTTCCTGCTATTATGCTTTATGATTTTGTGCCAACTCTATCTCTCTTTTTCACCCTCCTGTTTCAGATGGAATAAAACTAAGGAACTTTCTCTGCATTCAGCTCCCTATTTATTCCCAAGGTTGCAAATGAGCTCTGGGGCAGCCACTGAAAGTCACAGGACATCACATGTTCGAATGTTTTCAGCTGATAAACCAAATCATGCACCAATTTCTTGTGGAGGCTTTCAACCTGCTTCATCTTTAGACCATGTTTCTTAAGTAAATTCTACTTCTTTACCATAACAGTATTGTATGAATAGACTGCAAGTCACGTTTTAATTATAGAAATTTCGATGATGATGATGGTGTTGTGAACATGAGTATTCTCAAAGGTGATTGGGGTGCTTGTTTGAACATTGAAAGAATAGGGTTTTTTGGGAGGTTCTGCTTCTTGGATGGTGATTATGGAAAAATGGGAGCTCCTGATTCTGACGATAAACTGTTGGAGGTGGTGAGAAGAAGAAAGACGATGCAATGGGCGTTGAAATTGCCCTAGTTTTGGGTACTTGCAACCTTAGCTATTGGTTGCTTCCTCCCACCTTTATCTACCAGAGTAGGTACCTGCTAACTGTGTTTGGGTTGTCTGCTGGGTCCCATGCAACTAGAGACGATCAGGTGTTGCCCAATTGGACGAGTACCCTCCAAGTGGGCCTCAGATTGAAATCAAATCATGACATTGTTCAGGTCTTGAATGGTAGACTATAGACCGGACCTATTGGGTTGTGGAGTCGTTTATTTGTATATCCATTAAAGAGGATTGTTTCAAAATCATAGTTATCTGTAAGAGATCACATCGCATATTTATCGGGTTCTTTGGGCCCTCAATATTGCACAAAGAGATCTTATCACACCTACTTGAGGTTGAAGTTTGGGTCTTACTGAGGAGGAAATTTAGCCCAAAAACTCTTGTAATTGTGGAGATTCAAACTCAAATTATTGAAAAAAAAAAATCTGAATTCTTGGTTGGTAAACAAAAAAGCAAACCCAAGAATCGACCCGTATTATTAAACCAAGTTAATATTCGTCAGAACGTGATTGATACCACGTCATTCATCCCTCTTGTTTCAGCCTTCTCTCTATCACTCCCAGTCTCAGCAATCATAGAGGTCGATTTCCCGGCGGCGAACATTATTGCCGGAGCCGGACTGCCTCTTCTGTGGTCTATTCGTCTATTCGTCTTTTTTCCTAAAGGTAGGGTTTGTACTTGATTATCACTATAGAACTATTTTGTAATTCACTTCTAAATCACACTCTGTGTATGGCATTGATGCATTTTTGCAAATCAGCAAGCATACTGGAAGGTATATTCTGATGCGCACGGTATCTCGTGAGATTTAGATCTGCTCCACCGACTTCTTATCGCCATTGGAGTGCCACGGTCGTCACTTTATGTTTGTTTCTCAACCTGATTCCCAATTTCTCATTGCAATCGTTCCATTGTGCCTATGCTGTGTCATCTATGATTGTTTACAGTTTACATTACCATGCCATTTACTAGTTCTTGAAGCAATTTCTATGAAGTACTGTCTATAGAATTTCTTTCTTTTTTTTTTTGTCTATATATCACCTCTTATGCTTGAATAGGCCAAGATTCCTACTATCTAGGGTGCTTATCTTTGTGTTTTGTACACCATATCTGTACCGATCTAGACATGGTCTATGCATTAACCATGTTACACATCCAAGGGCTAAGTTTTTGACCCAAACCTAGCCCTAAAAAGTATCGCAATTAATTTTTTGCTCTAGACCCTAAAACTAGGCTTAATGTTCAGGCACAGAACTTCTTGGCCTAGAACATGGAATTCCTAAGTTGAGCTGCTCTGCTTGTGTGGGCGCTAATGCCCACCCCCTAACCCTGATGGACTGTTGAGACCATGACATGGCAATAATTGTAGTATTTGGATGATTGATGCAAACTATTTTCCTTTTTATAGGGAAAGTTTTGAAGGTCATTGCAGGATTGCAGAGAATGATTTAAAACGCCAATTTTCTTGGAAAAAAGTGAGTGAAATTGTAATGTATGACACAACTTTGGGTTTATTTATATGATATTGAATGTAATAACATGTCAATTTATATGGATTCATCAGCATACAATGTATATATAATCTGTAAAATATAGCTTATTTGATTTTTGTTCATACAATCAGCGGCCGGTAAACAATTTAGTAGTTGTAAGCAGGGGTCTAGAACTTTTAGTTTCAGAAACACAATGGTTTAACATGGTATCATTAAGCCCTTGCCAAGACTCCAGTGTCGAAAGAAGAGCATCCAAATTTTCAGGCATTGAAGCATGACTCTTTAAATACATCAAAACTTGAGATATGCTTGGCCTAATTGCTGGCAGAGGATGTGAACAAAGTAATCCAACCTTTAAGACCAGCTCCATTTCCTCCACCTCAAAATCATTGTTTAATTTGGGATCTGCGGTCTTCAAAATTTCTCCTGATCTCCAACATTCCATAACCCAGTCCACTAGAATTACCTCTTCAGGTGGTGACCTTGACTGGATTGGCCTCCTTCCACAAGCAACCTCTAAGCAAAATGTACCCAATGCGAAAATATCAGTGCTTGTAGTTGCCTTACCATGTCTAGTTAGCTCAGGTGCAATGTAGCCCAATGTGCCAGCTAAATGAGTTGTCTGAGGATCATTTCCATGATGGCTACATCTTGCCAACCCAAAATCGCCTAACTTTCCGTTTAAGTCTCCATCCAACAACACATTACTGGCCTTGATATCTCTGTGAATAATTACTTCTGTCCACTCTTCATGCAAGCAACAAAGTCCAGAGGCCACGTCCTTGATAATTTTGAATCTTTGATTCCAATTAAGAGTGGCCTCTGTCTGGCTAAAGATGAACTTGTCAAGGCTGCCATTAATCATAAAATCATAGACCAAAAAGAGCTCACCTTTTCGTCGACAATAACCAAGGAGTCGCACCAAGTTAGGATGTCGCAGTCTGCCAATGGTAGCAATCTCTGCTACAAACTCTCTCATTCCTTGCTTTGAATCATGTGAGATTTTCTTCACTCCAACTTGCATTTGTGATGTAGGTAGGACGCCTTTATAGACTTGACCAAAGCCTCCTCTTCCCAGAACCTCACTTTCTCTGAAGCCTTTGGTGGCTATGTAGAGGTCCTTGTACAAAAATCTGTGAGGCCCATATTCAACCTCCCAATCTTCGAGTATTTCAGTGAATTTAGCTTTTCTTTTCACCAAGAAAAAAATGGCAAAGATTGTGAGTGACACTGAAAATACTCCTACAGTGGACAATCCTAATGCCAAATTCCTTTGTTTCTTATTAGACTTTTTCTCGAGTGGTATAGTAGGAACGCGAGAAAGAACAAGTTGTGGAGCTTTTCCGTTCAATTGAAAACTCCAACCTAGAACATAATCAGACTGTTGATGTACACCAATCGGTGCAATAAAACCCACATACATTTGGTCTAAGAAGACTGGTGAAAGATCAATTTCTATAGACAAGAGTGGAATATCTGGCTTATTTATGTTCAATGGACATACTGTGATATTGACTTGCTTCACCATGCCATCGTACTCCACCCAAGCTTGTATGCGCTCTCCACTCGCAAGGTTGAGGTTCTTGAATTCTCCATCTTTCGCAAAATAACCTGCAGAAGTTGAGTTAGTTGATCTTATGCTGTTAAGATTGAGACCAACATGGTTGGCATCGATATCCCCAACTTCCAAGTCTTGATTTGTATCAAACTCAATGGAGAAGGCATGATTATTTGGGTCTCCATCTTGTGTCATATTGATTAAGCCAAACTGTTCGGATGATAAGACTCCAGAGACTTGCTTCGCGGGTGCAACAGCAAACCCCATTCCAAGTCCACGATTCGGGTTTCGATATTCAGGAACTATGCTAAATACAAACATGGTGGAGAAAGAGAAAGCATCACCGTTTGACGAATTCTTGAAGCTTAGGGGAAGAGAATAGAAAACAGAACCCATGCCCCGACTTGTTTCGTTTGCATTCTTTAAGAGACCTCCTGGTGATATCTCTGCTACTTCACCAAGTTTCAACTTTTCGTAAAAGATGAAGCTGTTATCACAGTTCACCACTGTGATCAGGATACATAGCAACAAATAAATCCGAGTAACCATGAATAAAAAATAAAAAATAAAAAGATTCTGAATGCCACTGCACTTGTTCTCTCTCTCTCTCTCTCAGACACACACACAGAATAAACCTTGTTTAAGAGTACGTGTTCCATTCATCCATTGATTATTTGTTCAATTTGTTTTCGTGCGTGTGGAAAATGCAATACATGGCACCTAGGCAAGGCACGGGGTTGACAATATGGTTGAGATTAGACTAACCCACAATTTTTGGTGGGCGCCCTGTTTGGCTGAGAAAATATTCCTCACAATGCCGGGATTGTTGACGTGCAGGTTGGACTTTTAAATCATCAACAAGGGAAAGAGGCGAGCACATTGAGGTAGCACAACTTACTTGACCATACCAACTCAATTGAAAATTAGATCAGTCCGAATTGTCCACGAGTCCCATCGCTTTACTCGAAATGTGATACCAAGACTATATGTTGGATTGTTTGTCAAGACACTTCATCGTCATTGAGTGCCTCATTCATTACCAAGTCCCGAGACAGGATCACCCTTCTAGAAAGCTTCACTGCTACATTAAAGTCCTTGATGACAGAGTCTTTCACAGTGATCTCTCTCTTTTTAGCCCTTAGGACAGGTCTAAAAGGAGGGGTTGTTAACTTGGGAGAGAGGCTCACTTCGGCTTTGGCAATCCTCCGCCTCTTAGGGGCTGGGTCCTTGGCAAGCTCGAAAATAGAGTCTTCTTCAGGAAGAGGTAACTGAACAGAAGCAGGGGGATCCAACTCAACCGGAATTGATGTTTCATAATTCTGAGCCGCGTCTGCTTGGTCACTACTTGGTATATCGACATTATTTGGGGGAGCAATCTCAACTTGAACCTCGATAGTGGGCTCTTCTTCGATGATAATTGAGGGCACATAATTTGTTGCCATTGGTTCAGCAGAGGGGGTCGGCTCAATAGTGGATAGAAATCCAAGAAATTCCTTACCGTTCTATGTCTAGAGACTGCTAAGGAAGTTTTCTTTTTGCTCGGGGTGTCTTATCCCGAGCAGCTTGGATGGCCTCCTGATATGTAGTAAGCATTGCATTGGGTCGGTTCGGCACGGCTATGAAAGATGTGTAGTTTGGTGTGTATCCGAGCAGAGTATGGGCAGCTCAATAGAACAATGATTCGTTGAAGTCCCAAACCTTCTAAAGTTGATCCAACTTAACAGAAGACTCAAGAATCTTGCCTTTCACCGTCTCTCCTACACAAAGCAATATATCAGATACAAAAAGATAAAATATAACAAATATTTTTTGAGGAAAAGAAGATTCAAGTACCTGGTGTGCCTTCTTCATAAGGACAACGATAAGAGGGGGAGGCTCCAATAGGGTATTCTCAATTCCCAGAAACAAAAACAATGTCATTTTCATGACCTTTGTTCAAATCGAGAAGATGGGTGACTAGATAGCGGTCTTTCTTCCTCACTGACAGATAGTAGCTATCTCCAGCAAGTTTGATGATATAGCAGTATTGAATGTCCCACAAACCGAGACTCAAACCCAAAATTTTGTTCAAAGCAGACACCCCCATGACTATCTTAAAGAAATTGAGGCAACATTGGAGGGGGCAGAGTTTTGTGGCAGAAAAAGTCCACAGAAGGAGAAGATCAAGAGGAAATTGGATTCCTCCCTCGGTGATAGCACGAGTGGGGATGGGGATGGACTCCCTTGTGCCTATCAGTGGTTCATCTTTCCTAGCAACTCTTATTTCAACATCGTTAGGAACGTTGTATTTTACTCTAAAGGTTGAAATTTCAGAGGGTGTGAGGGGAGCCACTGAAGAAGATGGAGTTCAGAGAGAGAACGTAGAAAGAAAAGAGTAAGAGTCTGAGAGTTGGGAAACAAAAAGGCAAAGTGAATGAAATACGAAAAGAGGCGGTTTATAAATAGAGAGGAATTTTAAAGGGTAATATTTAAATGCCTTGAATGTGCCGCCAAAACAAAAGGGGATATTACAAAGTACAAGTAATGATGATGAAAAGATAAGAAAACGGCAGACAGATGAAAAATGTGTGTCAGACGTTTTCTGGAGACAAAAGAAAGGGTTAGCCCTCATTATTACATGTGTTATGACAATCAATGAGCTCGCGTGAGAATGAAAAGACATGGCACATGAAGAAAACATCAGTTGTCCAGTCAAATGGACCTAGCCGAATTGATCGATTAGTTCGGCAAGGCAAGGAAAGAGTTCGGTTTTTACCAAACCGAGCTGATCAATCAATTCGGCAAACATCAAAAGTGTTTGACCCTCATTATATCTGAGCTGTTCAAAACAGCGGATAGAAGGATAAAAATTCGCACATAACTTAGGCTATTGGATAAACGATTCAACGAAATTGTAAATATCAAAATGAATTGTTAGAGAAATATCAGCAACTTTCCAAACTAAATCACTGAATAGAAGAAAGGTGTGCCACCTTGAATTAAAAATCATGGAAACCCTAAAAGGATGTTCATCTATAAAAAAGAGAAGAATCCAAGGTGAAAGGTACACTGAACTCTCCTTATCTTCTGGCAATTGATTCAAACTCATTACTGACTTAAGCATCGGAGTGCCTTCGATCGAAACACTTCGATCTTGGCCAATTTGTACGTTTTGCAGAATATAAAGATTGAGATATCAAGTTCAGAGATATTCCTTACCAGAAAGATCACATCAAATTCCTTATAAGAGGTCTCGCTAATTTTTTGCCTCTTACAGATATCTTCAAACTCTAGGCTTTGGATCGTGTCATTTCCATTGTTGGTGTCATTGAAAAGGCCAAGATACGTGCTTGGAAGAGCTCCTAGAAGGCCTCTGGTTGGGGCAATCACAAAAGCGATTCCATGGCCGTCCAAAGTCGGATCTTCGGAGGCGATAGCAAATACGAAAGAGGTGGAGAAGGAAAAAGCTGAACCGTTTGATGAGTTCTTGAAGCTGATAGGATTGGGATAAAAGGCATGCCCTTTTTGTTGTCTAGTGGCATTGGCTAGCTTCAGGAGGTCATTGGGTGTGAATTTAGCTATGCCATCAAGACTCAGGTTCGCAGTTCAAATTCCATCGTAGACAAATCCTAGATCTTCAGATGCTACTAAGGTAAATTAAACATGCACCACCAGTATTACAAGTGTTGGGTTTTTGTGGAGTCTAGTTTGTATTCATCCGGATGATGACCCGACTCCAAATAATATTACGTAGTTTTTTAATGAGAAAATTTCTGAGGCTTGGTCCATGAAGCCCCCGGGAAAATTTGTTGGGCTTGTTTTGTAGTCCGATGTGCAGGACATATAAAAAATCGTTATATTGGTGATTAAGGTTTGATTGGGGATTGTATGGCCTCTGTATTCCTTCTTCTCTATAGTGAAATTCCTATAGTTTCGCGGATGTAGGCAAAATTATCGAACCACGTAAAAATCTGTGTGTCTTATTCTTTATTATTTCTCATTATTTTTTGTTCTTAGATTATATGTGTTTGTATGTGGGTTTAAAGCGCGTTAAATCCTACCAACAAGTTTGCTAAACATGGCTACTCTTTCGGCTAACTCCTTTCAGAATCTCTCTCTTTTTTCTTTTAAGTCTGTAACGATATTCATGTCTCATGTTTTTATCCTGGATAGCAGTTTGAGACTTGTTGTTTGTACGTAAAATATTGACATGATTTGTCGACTTAATAAATCACAATTATTAAATAGGTAGTGCGTTCCAATAAATATTGGGACCCACAACTAAATCAATAATCGTGATTAATCAAGTTAATTTTTGAAGTGTATGTAGCATTACTTATATTTTTTGGTGTTAGGATATTTTATTTGACTAAAATTTAAAGGGCAATTTTTATTTTATCTACTTATGTTATTTCCTAAATGCACTCTATCTTCCTGAGTTTTAACAATGTCCACAACACCCTCATAGTTTGTGGACTAAACTATACTCCTAACTCTGTTAATTGCATCAGTAAAATGACATTAATACCTTTCATTCTATCTTCATCAACAGACTCCCTTACCCCTTGTTCCGGCAAAGCACTCAACTCACTGTTACGTCATAACTGTTGCAGTTGCATGCTACGCCACAACAGTCACTATTCTTTATCACCATTCTAACCACAGTTTCCCATCAGCTACCTCCTTCTCAAACTCAACAACCATATTAGATCTAGAACTAACGGATACATAAAGTTATGAAGGTCAAAATGAAGAGAGAAGAAATTGGAAGAAGTTCGTAAATTGTTTGTGTCTGTTTATCGATGGCCTATCCTTTCTGTTAGATCCTCTGAAATATAATTTGTGTGTATTCTACTTTTTATTTTGTTCTTATTGCCTTTTTCTCAATTAAACAATTTAGTCATCACCTTTTTTTTTGGGGGGGTCAGAATGCAAACACCTGGTTTCGATTCCTATGTTTCTAATCATTTTTTCATTGTTATGTTGTTTCAGGTCTTGAATATGGTCATCCACCCTTGTGCGAATTGCTCTGTTAGGATGGTACAAAAAATTAAAACATTTTGAGTATGTAGCTCCCGGAAGAAAATGGTCGGCGACAAAGTGAGGAAGAAGAAAGTATTTAATTCGAAAAGGTGACTGGTGTAGGCGGAGGAAAAGGGCTGAACGGAGTAGCAGAAAGGTGGTTGTTGGTGTAGTCGAAGGAAAGGGCTTGAAGTTGCGTGATGTCTGTGAGAGGCAAAAGGGGTGGGTAGACGATGACTTAAATTAGTGTTATGAGGATATTCTTGTCATTTTAATATATTTTGTTAAAACAAAACTCTCATTGCCCATGTGATATTATGCAGTTTAAATTTTAAGTTTTAAAAATAATGACCAACTCATTACTTTCAGTCTCTATTTCAATCACTTCAATAATATATTTTTCAATTGAGGTATTTAAATAATAATAAATGTTAATTTATTTTTCAATTACATGCTGTGCTTACAATCTATTATTGACATTATGCTTAACTATTACTTCTATAAAAAGAAGATTTCTAAGACTAAAATTTGTAAAGTCATACATCAAATTGAATAAGAAAGATTACATAGATCAATACTATTACTTAAGAATAATAAGTCACCGAAATTTATCTGTAAAAATTATTTTTGTAATCAAGTATTCAAAAAACGAGGGGATAAATTTTACTTTTAAATGTAAAAGACTCACTAAAATCTGTCGTCTTATGTCTCAAATTATCTTGAGCGGATTGTGTTAAAAAGCCAAACTTACTCTCTCTAATACATGTATCTTTTTTTATTAAATATTATTTATTATAAAAATTATTTCCTATTAGAATAAAAAGTTGGATCGGAGTTGTAAAAAATTTGCTCTCTATTTTAAAATTTTATAAAAAAAAACTCTTTATTTTTGAAATTACGACATTTAAAGCACACACACACCCCATTAGGGAATGCTTTAAAACTTTATGGCATTGCATTAGTCTTGGAAATTTAAAATGGATTGAGACTCGGCATTAAAATTTTAACAACATGATTCTCAAGGTATTGTTGATTGGACCGAAATTTACGCAAGCGATTTATGTTTATTTGTATCATGCATTGACAAGTAAGCGCCGTGAATTATAATTTTTATGGGTAATTTAGTGGTTGAATTTAACCTTCGATAATTCAAAAATCTCAGGTTTCATTCCTTCTTACACATCTTAAGGGTTCGTCAGCTTTGTCCCTTTAGGAACATACTTTAATCCAGCTCAAGCTATGATAGTTAGCCACTCATGAACTCAAGGAAATAATTGGCGTAAACTTAAAAACCCTATAAGAAAAGAAAAAAATTGTTAGTCACAGTCTACGTTCAAGAAAAATGAGAAGGTGGTCCATTTTGATTTTAGAGTGGCACTTGTCTTTCAGTAATGTTGCAATGATCCACAATTTTGAAAAATAAAAGCAATGAGAAGCGGTGGTTAATAAATACAACAATTTGGGGATTCTACTTGTTTTTATTTAGGAAAATTTGGAGCCCGGTTCTCCTATATAGACTTGTGTGAATTTAAATTTGTCAAAAAAACTTATTTGTTATGAAATTCATTTTTTGTTAATTTTATCATACTATTCATTCCCTTTAAAAGTGAAATAAAACTAAAAATTAAAAAATTCTAAATTTTAGGAGTTTGACTAACATTAAAATATTTTCTCTCTCATATCTGCCTATATCCATATATAAATTAAGAGTTTGACTAACATTAAAAAAAATTTTCTCTCTCATATATATATATATATATATATATATATATATATA